AGCGAGCGAATATCAGGAGCAGATTCGTTTTTAACGTTAGCGTTCCCTTATTTTGAACGTGGGTGTAGCAAGTCTCTAATGGAAAAGTTCTGATGAACATCAGAAGACACGTGGTGGGTTGTGGTTTGGGGGCGGGCGAACAAAGAGAGTCTGTCCTTTTCCAATCGACCAGTTTATTTAATTATTAATTAATTTAACACTTGGGGCCGTTTGAGGGCCTTGAAGATCTCGCGGTTGCGCCGCTGGTGCTTGAGGATGGTGTCCATGGGCTTGGGGTACAAGTCGAAAACCCCCACGTTGACCACAAAGGCCCCATAGGGTGTGCCCAGGGTGCGCCCCTGAAGCTCCGCGTCACTGCAAGCCCCCAGCCCCATGAATCAGTGTCTGAATTGAAGACTCTTTGGCGTTCCACCTACCTGTGGGGCACTCGCCTCAGCGTCACCATGAGGGAGCAGTCCTTAGCAACGGCCGCTACGAGGTAGGGCGCAAACAGCAGGTCCAGCGCACATTGGCGCGCGATGCGCCCCAGGGCGCAGCGCATGCAGGGCTGCGCCTGTGCAGCCAGCGCGCCCAGCACTCGGTCGACGTAGTCAAAGTTCCCCGACTGGCCGCCCTTGCAGAGCTTCTTGTAGGTGGAGTGCGTGCCCTCTTGGTCCAGCTGCTGGGCGCTGAGGATGCGCCCCAGGACGCAGCCCGGAGGCAGGTGGGTGGGGGGGCAGTGGGGGCACTGCCCCTCGCCAGTCCCGCTCAGGTCCAGTAGGAGGCAGCGCTGCAGCAGGGCGCAGAACTCGTCGGCCAGTTCCAGAGGATCGGCGGCCGATTGGAAAAGCTCCTGCAGAACGGAGAGGCTGCGGCGCCGGTCGTCGAAGCACTGCGCCCCATTGCGGAAGATCTTCAGATTGTTCTGGGGCGCGGCTAGCAGGTGCCTTAAGGCGCGCCGCATGCGCCCAGGGTCGCCGGAGAAGAGCTCCTCAGGGCAGTAGTCGGTGCGGCCCTGGACGCGCCCCGTCTGCAGCTTGAGCAGCTGGTGCATGCAGTAGAGGCACTGGGGGAGCGCCAGGCGCTCCTTGGGCGGGCGCCAGCCCTGCTTCGGCTTGAGTTCGACGGCGAAAGTGTCCCCGATGAAGTCCAGATGGTCGAAACGCGGCGGCAGGAAGGCGAAGTCGCTGAACAGCGCAGCCCTGCCCAGCTGCAGCGTCTTGTGCCGGCGGTGATCTACCAGGGGGCGTTGGGCCTCAAAGGGGGTCACAATCTCCAGTGGGGTGAGCACTTACCTGGGCGCCGCTGGCGCACGCCCTCTAGGATCAGCTGGAGCTGCGGCCTGCTAAGCGCCACCATGCGCGCCTCCGAGGTGTAGTGGGCGCCAATCAGGGGGCGCATTACCTGGCAGTAGAAGGCCAGGTCGCGCGCCTCGTCGCCGCAGGCCTTGCCCGAGCACCACTCGATCAGGTCGGTGAGCAGCACCAGAATCCAGCCGAGCAGCGATTGGGGCTTTTCGGTTTTGCGTATGCGGAGGATCTGGCGCGCGCCCTGCAGCCCGACCACCAGGTTGCAGTTGCCCTCGCCGCGGTACGCCCACTCGTGGGCGCCTGCCAGCTGCGCCCCATCGCTGCCCATTATGCAGGCACACTGTGGGGGGCGCAAGCCCCTGACCCAAAATAACACATCAAGGCTGACAGTGACAAGTGAAGCTCCAGTGTTGCCGCCCATGGCGTGTGCGTGTGTGAGCATTCGTGCGTGCTCTTGGTTGTTTGCATGAACAAGTCGCAAAAATATCTGCAATCAATAAAAAAGGCAAATACTCTGCACTGTTTATTTTCTTAGCATAGACGTACAATGATAAAAAGTAAAACCGTTCAAACATTAACTATGTACATGTCGGTAGCTGACTGAGATCGGTGGAAATGAACGAATCAGTTAATTACAGGGAAAAGAGTCGATTCCGGAGCGGCGCCCCCGTTTGTACAGCGGGCGCGGCGCGAAATCAAGCCAGCCGCGTGGAATGGTAAGCAAATGCAAGTCACACAGTCGCGTCGTCGCCATTGCACACATAGAAACCACACTAATTACGACACTAGATGGGGGGGGGGGCGTGACCGGGCGCGGCCCCGCCCCCAGTCTCCTTAACCTACTTAATCAGCTAGAATGTTCCCTAACGTCTACTTGAAGGCAGTGATATCTGTACAATCCTATCTACAGCGCGCGTGCGCCCTCATCGGGGCGGCGCTCGAGGGCCGATCAGCCACGCGAGGAGCAGCAGCGCCACGGGTCAGTTCCACTGGTGGGGCGAGGGCGGCAGCTCTGACGTATGGGCCACCGCCGAACTGAAACCAAACAGCACACGATTAGGCGCCCCCCACCACTGATAAAACAAAAAACAAATGAACTGACCTATGGAGAAAAGGGCAAGTCACGCAGCACACAGAAAGATGACGGGTGATAACAGGATGTCGAGGGTCCTCTTAAAGGGCGCGCACGCAACTTTGCCTTTCCTGTGTAACAACCATCATCTCAGTGCTCAGTCCGAGCCTGCGCGGGACAACGGGGCGGGGCCGCCACGC